TACAGGCTGAAAATGACGATAGAGATGTTGGAGGGCCAGTATTTTCTTATCATATGGATTATATTGACGGTGATTTACAGACTTCTAGAGCGGATTTAAAAGGTATAATCACAGGAGGTATAGGGAATTTTGCTTTTGCTACAAAATTAGAAAGAATTCGTGCAGCGGCAAATGTAGATATTGTTACTTCTATGGTATAGTTTAAATTTGGTATGTTTTCGCATCATTGTTGATTGTATTACTAGGTAAAAACAACTGTTAAAGTTAGATTCTTAATTCTTTCATTTAAAATAATTCCTTTAAAAATTTATAATTTTAAATATTACCTTTAAATTATCTTATAGGAAAATGTTCTTGCAACTTGTCACGAATATATAATAATGTTGGAAAGATTAATACAGCTTTTCGTTTCGAATATCATTTTATAATAAAAGGGTATAAGATTAAATGTGGATTTTAATAGGGTTCATATTTTCAAATCAAGACACCAAATTTTAGTATCATCTATCTCAGAATTATCGTCATTTATTTGTCACATTAACACAGTTAGATAATTCCTTCATATTGTTGACTATTTTAAACAATAAAAGTTCTAATTTTTCATTATTCATATTAAAATCTAATGGCTCTATTTTGGTGTAATCGTGTTTATGTGAAAATTGCACTTGGCAATCAATAATACATAATGAGGGGTTTCATAATTAACGTGCGGAAATCTAATTTTGACAGAAATAGATAATGTATTTATTTTCATCGATTTTATCTCATTTTCCGATAAATTTGTAATAATAATTTTTGTCGTTGAAAAGTTTATTTATTTCGTTAAATGGGAGTCTCTAAAACACTCCCATTTCATTTTCCGATTTCAAAATTTTGATTTAAAATTTTGATATACAAATAAGATTTTTTAAGCTACTGCTTATTTTCGAAATATGCTACACTTGACCCCGTTAATATCAACCTCTTATTAAGACAAAATGGACTCAGGGTATATAAAAACCATCCCGATATTATCAACCTTCGCATATATCAACATAATTGTCCAATCCAAATGGGTTGATATTAACGGGGTCAAGTGTATTTTTTTTTAATTCTGAAACCCTTCAATAATGCCAAATACTACAGTAATCGCAAAGAAGATCCAGAGAAACAATTTTTTTCCGTATTTAAGAATGACAAAATTATTCTTCATTTTGGTTTAAACGAATGCAGGATTGTCGAAATATTATCGTACGATGGGCGATCATTCGCAGAGAATGTATGGAATGAACAATTATTTCCAGATCTTTTGTTTCTGTCTCATAATGTAGATCGTTTTTGCTTGTTTGATCAACAACAATGGGCTCTATATGATTATCACTTCTAATTAGCAGTTTCAGCTTAGCATTAGACCTAAAAGTTTACAAATTTACCGCAAATAAATTTTCTTAAAAAATTACATACAATTAGTTTTACGATAAATACCGTATTCCTCCGAAAATAAGCACTCTTTTTTTTGCACTTAATGCTGGCCGTGATTGTCGTAAAGCGGGCCAAAGTTGGCATAGTGTGGGCCAGGGTGCTTATTTTCGGGGGAGTGCTTATTTTCGGAGGAATACGGTATGTAAATTCCGGATCTATTCTAGGAATGTCTTTTCTAGTTTCATATTGATAGAAATCTCTAACATAAAAATAAACCATTCTATTAGTATTTCCATTTTGGGCCGATTTTTATCAATTGAATTTGTATTATTTCTGAAAGGAATGAATGTTTTATTATTAATACGCAATAATTTTCAAATTTTCAATGGATAATGGATTAGTACATTGCCATTACACTTACAAGTCATTCTTATACAGTTGATCCTCGTTAGTGTCAACCTATTTGGATCATCTTTATATTCATGTTGATAGTGATATTAATGAGAGTTTATATTAAAGTTGATATATATGAGGGAATTTTGATATATAAAAATTTATAAAAATTTGTTTTGTGGTATTAACGCAGGTTGATATTAATGAGGGTCGACTGTATTTGGTAAGTTACCGATAAGTTTAAATTCAATATAGTGTAATGAATTAAGACAGTTTCTATATTTTTTAATTTTTGTAAATAAAATTATTTTTCTCGGTAAATTATCCATATGTTTGAAATTCTCCATCCATTTTGGTAACAATGCCAATTTTGGTAAATTTATTCATTTCTTTTGAACATTTCACAACTTATACTAAATGGCTTGGTGGCTTAATCATATGGATGTTACGCAGGTCGCGTAAACGCGACTGTGAGGGTGTAAACACAGCCGTTTAAACCTGTTGCCATTACCTACCTGCATAATCACAAGAAAATGACTAGGGAATGGGGGTGTAAACGTCCCTGTGGGAGTGTAAGCTTCCCAGTGGTGGTGTAGATGCGCCCGTAGTCGTGTAAACGCATCCTTTAGGGTGTAAACGCTCCCAAAATAAAAACGTATTTAAAGACCTACAATTCAAAGCAGTAGAGATTAGAATCTTTCAGTTCTATTTTACCATTAAATAAAGAATCCAATACCATTCCATCCTTAAATAATTCGTTTCGCTTTCGCTTGAATAAAAGTATATACTTATCTGAATATTTCTTTGAGTATTGTCTCTGAATTCGACTTATAACTTTAATAAACCCTTTCAAGACTCAATTCGACGGATTGAATTGACTTGTAATTTCGATTTGGCTTATTTAGACTAGGATTCTAGAACGTTTGTGGAATCAAATATTGTCATTCACGATAGTGACTTGCGAGAATTGTGGTAGAGAACGAGACTTACGATCGGTTATTAAACTTGGTTAATCCCTCACGTGCTCTTAAAGTTACCGCTGATATCACTTGATTATCGTCCGCATCATCCTTATCGAGATATCCCTAACAGCATCACGTGTAGTTGCATCATCTCATTATCACCTTATTAATATCAAAGCCTTCGTTTCATAGTGTCATATTGTCTCAATAGACCTCCGACAGTTGTA